CTTGTCGTTCGAAAGCTTCCATATTGGTTTTGTAGTCAGAGAGATGTTCACTCCTCGACAGTCAACAGTCAATGAAAGTCACGCGTGGAATTAGGCGCTCAATACCCATGATGCTTTGCGGCCTGCTGTCCAACCTCCTCTGATTTTTACATGAAAATATGGCGAAAAGATTCTTAGAAGCTAAAGTGAGTATTAAAATATTTAACAGTTATTTATTGGCAACGTATAAAACATGTACAGGCAGCCGGCCACCACCAGGAGTCTTTCGTAATTCTCATGCATCATGAGACATGAGCAAATAGCCTTTCATGTTGATAAATTGTTTGCCTGCAGTGCAGTCAGACAAACATTCAACCAATAAGAGACTAGAATGAGGGAGGCAGTGCACAGGGGATCTAACCCTATAACCAGTCTTGGTTCCGAAACACGGACACTGTTTTTTATTTTGGTTTTCATTTTAGTGTGTGCACATATGTTTGCATACAGTATCAAGAAAGGTTGGTTCTATATTGAGTTTTCTATTCCCTAATTAATGCAATGCAGCCTATTCAGACTTGTAGCATGTTGCATGTCAAAGCCAATCAGAAAAGGGTGTAAATATATAGAGAGGGAAACCGGGCAGCCCGGAGGAAAACCCTCTCTCATGCAATCAAGGACCACAGACACAGCTGACGACTTTTATTTTAAATAAAAATATTTACAAGTTTTTACAAAAAAATTATTTTTTCATCTATTTTTAATATATAGTGAGAACACAGAGACAGAGATTTTTATTTTTATTGAAAAAACGAATGCATTTACAAGTTTTATCACAAATTTATGCATTCATTTCAAATAAAATGTACAAAAATTATTAATTATAATTCCTAGAAAGGGAAAATGTTAGTAAAAACCTGAAAAGAGAAATTCCTAAAAAGAGAAATTCTAAAAAAGAGAGAAAAGAAATAAAATATGTTAATTAATTCCTAGAAAAGAGAAATTCCTAAAAAGAGAAATTCTAAAAAAGAGAGAAAAGAAATAAAATATGTTAATTAATTCCTAGAAAGGGAAAATGTTAGTAAAAACCTGAAAAGAGAAATTCCTAAAAAGAGAAATTCTAAAAAAGAGAGAAAAGAAATAAAATATGTTAGTTAATTCCTAGAAAGGGAAAAAGAGAAATTCTGTATGTTGATTCACCTAAAAAAAGAGAAGAGAATATTAGTATGGTGCAAGTAATTCTTGTATTTTCTAATAATTTTATTAAACATTCAGCTATGTATTAAATGTACAGCTAAGTGTTTGTAAACTACATGTATGTGCAAGTCATGTGTAACAGTCAGAAGGAAAAGACCAAAGAATTTTGTGAAAGGAAAGAACGAGAACAAGCAGTTTCAACATCCAAATTAAACACACCACAACAAAGTTTTTGCTCTGTATTTAAATATTACATTCAATTGAATTAGATATTAATTACAATTGGTGTTTTTTTAATTTTTTCTACTTGACTATCAATATTTCCGGAAACTACAAGACTAGTAAGTAACAATTCGCCATATTGAATTCGCCATATTGTATTCGCCATATTGTAGTATTTTTAAAATATTTTTTTTTCTCATTTGCTCCAATTGTTTTGCATTTATTTTGCACTTGATCCTGCCCACACACATTTTCCCCTTAATAATTTAACCACATTCTTAACCTATATTGCCTAATGCTTGGTGGCCATTTCCATTATTATTAAATATGCAACTAGTTACAGCTTCTATTAGCAAGCTATTACTATAAACCTGAAAAAGAAAACCAATTATGCCATATGTTACAAATATGAAAATGACACCATCCGGACACATGTTCCACAATTGTCCCGTAAGCGTCATCTTCATAAAGTAATATGGCATAATTGGAGGGGGTTCCGGAGGTTAGTAACTCAACCGAGCCAGCAAGCAATCCTCTCCCTTATGCGCATGGTTGGGGAAGGGAAGAGAGACAATTGCTCTACTCGCTGGGGAAATCTGTGTCTTAATTTATCCTCTTGTGGTACCATTTGTACCTCCTGCTTAACTATGCAACCAAGCAAGACTTTGCCAGACCATGGATAATAAAATAAAGGTAATTTATTTTATTATCCATGGCCAGACATATCTCCAAATGTTTGTTTTTCATTATAAATTTAAATCTGGCAAAAGCTTTCAATTTTAATCTGACTGGCAAAGTCTTGCTTGTCAATTACCATATATATAGGCTGTATTTACACACAAGTTTAAGTCATGCAAATGAAGAAAATTTTTGTTTTTTAATAATGTCATTAAAAATATATATTTTGGTGTGTGTAAATGCAACCTACTGACCACCATTAAGCCTTTCATGCACTGTGCAATCAAATGGTTGTATATGAAGAAAAAACTATAGTATTTGATTTCATACGCTCAATTCCACGACATCTACAAACTGTAACACTGTCAAGAAGTCCACCCATTAAATACCCTGATCTTTTATCCACATAATATAATCCACATTGAATGTAATTAGTAAGTCCACTTGTAAGTCCAACATATATTTGCCATAGGATTGGTATACTGTATATATATCCACACTTGATTATAGTAAGCCACATACATCATTGAACCACTTGGGACATCACAGCATATTCAAATGAACACAAATGTAAAAATATTTACATCTAGAACATGCATATGCACTATTGTTTAATCTAGTTAAATTGCTACTAGCTTAAAGATACCATCCGTATAGAAATGACATCTTTGGGCAGTGTATAACCTAGTAACTAGCATTTTATAGAAGCTAGTAGCAAACAAGTCTATTTTTGCTAAAGCATATAGCAATAGCAACCTTGCTGTCCTTATAGAAACAGCAATGAAAATAAGAATGTATACACTACATATTTTGCTACATAGCACTTGCTGTCCTTATAGAAACAGCTAAGAAAATTTAATGCACTATTTGTTTGCTAAAGCATATAGCAATAGCACTGCTGTCCTTATAGAAACAGCCATGAAAAAAACGAATATATACACTACATTTTTTGCTATATAGCACTTGCTGTCCTTATAGAAACAGCTATGAAAATTAAATGCACTTTTTTTTTGCTAAAGCATATAGCAATAGCACTGCTGTCCTTTATAGAAACAGCCATGAAAATAAGAATATATACACTACATTTTTTGCTATACAGCACTTGCTGTCCTTATAGAAACAGCTATGAAAATTAAATGCACTTTTTTGGGCTAAAGCATATAGCAATAGCACTGCTGTCCTTATAGAAACAGCCATGAAAATAAAATGCACTAAGTTTTTTGGCTAAAACATATAGCAATAGCACTGCTGTCCTTATAGAAACAGCCATGAAAATAGAATGCACTAAGTTTTTTTGCTAAAGCATATAGCAATAGCAGTCTTGCTGTCCTTATAGAAACAGCCATGAAAAATAACACTGCAACTTGATTAGATATCCCAAGATACCTGCAACACTTCCAGCCATTCGGCAAGGACAAACAGTACACCCAAAAAGCGGCGCCTTTCTTTTTACATGTACTGCTTGTCCGTGCTGAATGACTCGAAGTCTCACAGAGACCTTGGAAAAATAATTAAGTTGTAATGCCACTGCCCTTGAACTTTTTCCAACCTAACCTAACCTTCTAAAAGTAATGAAAAGTTTTTTATCTTTTTTTTCATAAAAATCAAATTCAAAAACGTTTTTTCAAAATTTTAAAACTTTAAAATTGTGTTCATTTGGGCCCAATCTTGAATTGACTTCAACCTGAAATAGAATGCAAAATAATTGTTAGTAAAAACAACAACTGATAATAAATTGGCAATTAACACTTTAATTTTTGGCTATAACACTCATTTATATGTCTAATTCAGACAATTATCTTTCTAATTGTCACAATGAGTATATAATTAATACACGGTTATAAAGCGCGAACGAATTCCCTTGGGAGCAAATTTCGACAATGTGATTGGTTGGCGAAAAACTTTGCCGCGAAAATATTTTTCACCAACCAATCACATTCCGGAAATTTTTAGCGCGAACAAATAAGCAGAACGACTCTTTGTTGAAACTCAGGAAATGGCAGTTGAAGTTTATGTAAATAATTCAGAAAACAGTACAATTTTGGTAAATTTGGTAGAATTTTTCAGACTTTATTGACTTTAGACTTGTCAAAATCTGTGTTGTCCAAACATGAAGCTAACCGAGCCACGCGCGCGAAAAGTTTTCAAAAATTTCCCAAGCTCGACTTCGACAAATTTTCTTCAAAAAATATTCCTGAAAAACTTCTAAAAACTTCGTGAGTTTGTTTTGTTGTCTTGTTTCTACTTTGTGTCATCGAATATTCGAAATAAAAGCGGAATACAGCGGCAAATTTTACCATGTGTTCAAGTGCTTGACTAAAACCTCGCATTTCGTCTCGAAATTTTGCTCAAAAATACACCAAAATTCCTTCAAAAGTCTCTCGAAGTATTGCTACGTTTAGCGAAGACAAAAGTCAAACGAAACGAACAAGAAACTAAAGACGAAAGCGGCGAAACTTCTTCGGTCTGGTCGAGCCAACTGTGAACTTTGAACCCGCATTTCAGGCCTAAAAATTCAAATTAATGTCAGAAAAATTCAAGAAATAGCAAATTTATACTTGCCTGTAACGGTTGAAGGCATTTCTGGGTCGCAGAAGCGTCGAATAGCGGTCGTCTTGAATAAAACGTGGAGAAGACTGTCTTAGGTCATTTCCAAAGGGCGACATGTTCCAAATGCCCCAAACTTCTTCCACGTAAAATTTTTCCGCTCTTGCTTTCGCCTGTGATTGGTGGATATTGGCCAATCAGGAAACTTTTAAACGTTACAAAAACTGTTGGAAGAATATTTTTTGATCAAATCTTTGCTACTGTATTTCGCCGAAGATGAAAAGTTAAAATCTCCCAAGCAGTTTTTCAATTAAGGTGTTTTCTCGTAGTAGTTCAAGAAAAGTGATTTCCGGTCACATCTCAGAATATTGAAGCATTGTTGGGAATTTTGCTTTGAGTATCACCAACAAATCACTAGTTGTATTTTTGATATATAATATCTCAAATCACTCTCGTATCACATTTTTTACAATGGTTTCGCAGTCAAAGTCTCACAATAACAAAAATTCCTGTTTTAAAGGAAAACTATGTATCACGCTATCGCGCGTGGAGTTCACGTGTTCTATTACTATTTTAACTATAGACTGAGGTAAAGTCTCCAACACACTCCCCCATGTATGTTCTGTCCGAGACATACATGCACTCTCAGACTTTATAACGCAAATGTAAACACTAAATAATGTAATTATAGTCATCAGTTCCAACTTTACTATCAAGTTTGAACATCGTGCTAGTCCGACTGTTCGTTCTCGGCAAGTTCTCTAATAGCAACTCTCGCAGCTTCTGCAGCGGCTCTCTTTGGTCTTGGGTGGAAGTCTGTGGCATCAGGGTTCAGTTGTTGGTTGTTGTTTAAATCGCAAGACAATTCAAGGGGAAATAAATGTTGGACTGCTCTCTCCAATGTACCCTTGCCTGTTTTCACCACTGCTCCCCGTACAACTCCGTCCTTTCCCGTAATTAATCTTGTCACAACAGCAGTTCTCCACGTATTTCTTGGTTTGTTTTCTTCTCGAACAATCACGACTTCTCCGATCTTCGGATGCACAGCATTCTTGTTTCCAGTTTGGCGGTGTTGTTCACGCAGGCCACGGACATATTCACGACTCCATCTGTCCCATACTGCTTGTTTGCATCTTCGAAGGAACCTTGCACGTTTTCTCAAATCTTTCTCGGCAATGTGATGTGCCTCTTCTTCAGGAACGTACGTTGCATTGACCTGAAGCAACGAGTTAGGTGTCAGCGCTGGTAATTCAATATCGTCCTCGAGATATGTTAAAGGTCGGTTATTTAACGCTACTTCTACGTCGAGTATGACATCCTCCAACTCAGACCATTTCAGAGTTCCGTTACCAACGGATTTGTAGAACGCATTCTTGAACAAGCCTATAAGTCTCTCGAATTGGCCCCCCCACCAAGGGGCCCGACTCAGATTAAAACGCCATTTGATACCAAAACTTGCAAGGAGACTGTGAAACTGTTCGTCCTTTCTCACACGCTGTAACCATTTAGCTGTCGCCTGAAAGGTAGCTCCATTATCCGAGTACACTACCTTGGGTCTGCCACGTCTAGCGATGAATCTCTTTAAACAGGCGATAAACTCCTCTGTCTCCAATGACGTTACCAGTTCCAGATGAATCGCTCTGGTCAGACTGCACGCGAACATGGCTAAGTAGGCTTTCCCTTCCGTCTTTTTTCCGCGTTGATATCTTATCGGCCCGGCGAAGTCTACGCCTATCACTTGAAATGGCATGTCACCCTCGGTACGAGTTTTCGGCAGTTTCCCTGGAGGTGGTACATGATACGCCTTCACTTGAAATCGTTTGCAGCCATTGCATTTCCTCCGAATCCGTTTGACTAACTGACGAAGCCGAGGCACCCAAAACCGTTCACGCACCTTTGCCATAGTGAGCCCAACGCCACCGTGTAGAGTTGAAATGTGGGCTTGTTGAACAACTTTCAATGTAAAGGGTTGGCTATCGGGCAGATAGATTGGATATTCGCCACTGATTCGCCCGCGACAATCAACTATTTGTTGATCGTTCTGCAACAAGTTCAATCGCAGTTGATCTGTTCGAAATTGGGCATCATCTTGAACTGCTTGCTGTGCTCGTCTAATCCACCAGAGTTCCTGCTGTTCAACCTCATCAGTAGAAATCGGACCCGTCACTTTCTCTTCGGTTTGGCGTTTGCAGTTTGAAACAAAGCGTCGAACATAACCGAGAATTCTCAATACTTTCGAGAGATGGTATTTTTCGAGTAGCTCATCAAAGACATCTGACTGGATCACGGTCGCTGCTGCGATTTCGTTCTTTACTTTCACCTTCTCTTCCGCTCTAGTCTGCTCATCAGGAACTAGTGTCACGTCTTGGGGCCATCTGGATGGATCCTTCAGCCAAGCTGGGCCTTCTTTCCACAATTGGTTGTCCTTAACGTCGCCTCCCCTACTTCCTAGATCAGCGGGATTCTCTCTCGTAGGCACATGATGCCATGTCACTTCGCCATGCTGTCGTATCTTCTGCACCCGATTCGTCACGAATTGTCGGTATTCACCTTTCCCTTTTATCCAATATAGCGCCACGGTTGAGTC